CTCTGCCTCCCAAGTGCTGGGATTAAAGGCATGTGCCACCATGTCCGGCTGATTATTTTATATTTTATGTGATGAAATTTCTTTCATATTATTTTATTTATTATTTTTATTTTATGTGTATGAGTGTATTGTCTGCATGTAGGTAAGTGTACCATGTTGTGCAATGCCCGTGGAGGACAGAAGAGGCTGTCAGATCCCCTGGGACTGGAGTTACTGAACAGTTGTTAGCTGCCATGTGGTAGCTGGGATTCGAACCTGGGTCTTCTGCAAGAATAACCAGTGTTCTTAACCGCTGATCCATCTCTCCAGCCCCCTTCTTTCATGTTACTAAAAATGAAATTGAGGACTCTAAAGATAAAAAGATGTTAACTTCAGTGTAACCACCTGTCCAAAATGGCTTACATACAAAGAATTCCTTTCCTGGAAAGCAGAATTCCTTTACTAAAAAGCTAGTGTCAGTTTAATTTTATTCACAAATTCTTTGGATATCTAGTAGCCACTTTCCTATTTTAAGCATGTATTGAATAAATTGTAGCTCTTTTAATCACTTGCTGGCCTTTTGGGTAAGATCAAATGTAACTCTTTTTAACGCTAGAATGAAACATTTAAGGTTGTAGTTCAGGGGAGCATGGTGGCACACCCTTTAATCCCAGGACTGGGGAGGCCAGATCTCTGAGTTCCAAGCCAGCCTGGTTTACGTAGTCAATTTCAGGATAGTGAGACCCTGTTTCAAAACTTAAAAACTCAAAAATGAGTATAGTTCAATAGCCCCACATAGTGGCACACAGCCCAGCACTCATGATGCTGAGGCAGGAGGGTTTCAAATTTGGGATTTGAAACACATAACAAGATCCTGTCTCCCAAACAGTTAAGAACAATAGGATTATGACTTTGTAAGCCATACCAATACACACATTGTGGCAAAAGCTGGACTTCAGTGGTACAGTTACTTAGCTCAATTTAGGTAAGTTTTTGTCCCGCTTAAGGCTGGCTTTGCAAATAGCTTGGCCAAAGGGCGGATGAGTGATTAAAAAGTTACAACTTATTTGCTACATGTTTAAAATCGGAACATGACTAGTTGTTCAACACACTTCTCAGTTATTTGGGTCTCTCACTCACTGACACTCTATCCTCTTGAATGCACTTAAAGAAAAGTGCCTCTATCAGAACAATGTAAAATAAAATCAACGGATGTTCCTGTTAGTTTCTCCCACAGGCTTTCCGGGGAGAGGGGGAGAAGTGGAGCAAGGTGTTTTGCAGTCAAAAACGCTCCCCGCCGTTTTCCCCCTGGTTGCGGTGGGCGTGCAGTATTTCTAGGGGTTGTAGGAACTGCGGCATTCCCAAGTCACTGCGGGCGAGCGCCCCCTGTAGGCCAAATCTGGGAATCGGTCCTTCGCTGGTCCAGCCTACTTGCGCCCGGTCTCCAGGGTGACGTCCCGCCCCGCCCCCTCCGGTCCCGGGCCCACAGCCCCTCCCGCCCCTCCCCCT